AGGCGCCCCTGCGGGGTAAAGGCAAGGAAAGTAAAATATACTATCTGTAGTAATTATATGTTACAGGAAATTGTCTTTTGGCCCACTTCACATATATATCACAATTGCTACAAATAACGCCCTTGAATATTGTTTAGCATTAGCATCTGTTAGTTCTAATTCATGCAATATTGTATTCATAATGGTTTTACCCACTATGGCAACATTTAATTGCTTTTTAAGACAGCAAAAAAATTTTTTTTGCAACGATACTGAAGAAGGTCGAATACTACAGTAAAGTAATTGCCCACAATTTTTCCAAACTGGTTTCCATATCGCGTCATTGTGAATAAACGAGCATGCCGCCATATTTTCTGCCTGTTAAGCTGTGCATGCTTACATGCAAATTTATGAACCTGTAAAATAAAAAAAACAGACTGTGCGTCGGTTTTTTCAACCACCGTGTTCATGTGTGCTTTAGATGGTTGGCTACATTTGCTGTCCACACACAGTTGCGCTAATAGCAGCGCAAACAGAAGCTGGTTTGCTTATAAGTGCACCGAGAACACACCGACGGCAGACACCAGCACACTATCGACAGCAGCCGGTGGGAGGCTAGCTCGCATTTGCCGCAGTGGCGAAAGCCTCAATGGCTTCGAGCGGTGCAGAAAACATGTAAACAATGCATTTCATGCAGCTTCATTTTAAAACAGCAAAAAGACCACCCACACAGAAGACTGGACAACATGAGCGCTGTCTTCTTTGTGTTTAGTCTTTGCGCCGTTTCAAAGAGAACCCAAACCAACTAGCCCAACTCTCGCTTTTGCTGCAGTTTATGCAACCACGGGCTGCTCCAATGACGGCATATTAAGCAATTTTTTTTTTGCGCGCAAAAAAGAAAAGGAGGGCGGGGGGGGGGGGGGGGGGGGGGGTCTAAGGCAATGTTTGACCTTGCGCGCGAACGACTGCGAGATAGTTTTTAAAATTTAGTTAGAAAGTTGCGCTAGTTCACAGGAATCGATCAAGACATGCGTTGAAGATGTACTGTCGGCTTCAAATAAAACGCGAACAGTGGAGCGCGAGGAACAAGCCTTATCAATGGCTTAGTGCACGTCGTCCACCGGTCATCTATATAGACAGGCTCGCTCATTCGGTGTAGCAGCACTGCGCAATCAATATTAATGCTTGTGTTCCAGTTGTGCTATTTGAAAGGAAGAAAATAAAATATCAGAAATTAAACTACAGCAGCCAAAGCACAGTTCATAAAAAGCATGGAGACGAATTCAATTCAAATTCAATGCTTAGAAAGGAATCTGGTGCAAGGATCGTGTACTCTCATGGGAATCTTGGGAAGTACAGGCTTCGGATTGTATCTTGTTAGCCAGTGAAATGTCCACGAATCTTTTTTTTTTTTTTTGCACTTTCAGTTTCGTTATTCGTGTATAGCGGCTAGTGGGATGGGTGCGAAGGACTGAAGCTGCGCCTTTGTTGTTCAAAGAAGCTGAAAACTGCTAGCCCTCTCAATTTACTGCAACGCTGGAGCTGTATAAGTCGTGCTTGACAGTTTAAGCGCAGCGTCGTCTACTCACCGCTGCGCATATATGTAGCTTTCCATGCCAGTGCAGGATATTACATCGAGTTTCCGTTTGTTCTTAGTGCGTCTTGCCAAGACTCGTTGAAATCAACTGCAAAATGACAGCGACGCAAAGTAGACGCAGCGCCAGGCTCTCCTGACTCGACTTCAAAACGAGAGGTGTGTTGGGGGCAGACCACTTGAACAGACGTACCTGGCATCACAGCAGACAAAAAGTTAAGTGTGTCTTACTTAATACTGCATTATTATTTCTATAAACAGATAAAGCGTATTTTTGAGGGCAAACCAAGAATGCTTGTTTTGAAATGTTGTAAAGAATACTTCATTACATCTTGATGCCAAATCTGGAACGCAATGGCAGAGCAATGCATACCCTGGTGGTTAAATTTGTCCCTGTTTCATTTCTACCACCTAGTTACAAGAACCGATTGCAATAAAGATTGTGTACAAAGAAAGAAGCAAGTTTTAATTTAATATAACTTCGTATTACTTTGTTTTACACTCGGAAAAGAAACGTCGTGATCTCAAGATTGTGATCCATCCGAAGCAGATCCGAATCCTGTACTTCCCATCATTCCCATGCGGGTACAAGCGCCGCTGGAGGAGCCCGCGTAGAAACTAGTGCTATATTCCACGCTAGGTATTATTGTATAAAACTCTATGGTCAAAAGCAACAGTGCTATCAACACCAAACGAATCACAAGTGGTGTCACGCATAGAGCAGCTTGTCAACAAATGATTCAAGATAAATTAACTAATTCAGTTTCACACTCTGGCACGGCAAGCATGCTTTCGATTGACAAAAATATATCGCGGGCAGTCGCGATGGTCTTTGCGGCGCTTGGTCTTTACTGCAGCATGGCAGCGCTTTCGCCGTCTGGGCATGATACAAGAAAGGATGAATGTGACTAACCATTATCATGACCATTAAAATTAACTGATGCATCAAGTCGCGATAGCGAAGCCATCTAATTATAATTACATTTGTAAACGAAGGTGCACTTAAGCAGAAACGCACATCACAATAAATAAACGAACAAAAAAAACTGGTCGACTAGCGAAATTCATTTACTGCAGATAACAGAATTGTACAAAAAATAAGCATCACGTTGAATAATGCTCCTTGGCGAGACTTCGCCGAGGAAAAGGCGCGGGCGTTTCCACGAGAAAAATTATTTGGCCCTTAAGTTCAATACTTAGTGAATTCGCCTCCAGCTGCTACAACGGCCCCATTCTTCGGGGAAGACTGCCAAAGAGCCGTGTCACAAGATTACTTGCGCATAGGCGCTCCCATTCCTCTTTTCTGCGCTCTTTCTTCCAAAGAAACGCTCGGCATTTTCAGTTAAAGTGAAGCCTTTTCGGGTGCGTCTCTGAAATGAGGGAGTAGGTAAAGCAGCGCTGGCGAACGAGATACGACGATCCTTTGAACCTTGACCACAAACCGATTAATCTTTTTTTTTTTTTGTATCGTGCCTAGACACCAATTGCACTGAGACGCTGAAGTAAAAGCAAGGATTTGCGAGTGGTGCGATAAAAAGAGCTTGGCACGCCCACAATCGCCAACATTTTCACCATACGAAAAGTAGAACAGAAATGGAAATAACGCACTATAGGGGACCGCGCAGTTCTGCCAAACCGGATGTGCACGCTTGTCAATGGTGATGACTGGACGGCGAACACTATACTAGAGTGCCTAGAATATTCTCCTAGTGTCATGAACAGGCGCCTTCCCCATCGGCGACTGGGAAATTGATTTGGATTCAGCGTTAGGGAGCGCTACTTGCAACTGGCGCGTCAGTTTGCGTGCCGGCCGGGCCTTTCAACGTTGTGTCGGGTGGCGACTTGTCTGTGTGGCGAAGCGTGTTCTCGCTACGTTTTGAATATGTGCCGTGAATTCTCGTGCAGTGATTGTGTGTGACTATGCCTGAAAAAAAAAAAGGAAGAACGTGCTTTGTGCCTTTGTGCAAAGGCGGGTACAAGTCTTTCAAGGAGAAGGTGTCTCTGTTCAGGGCTCCGGCAGACCCTGTTCGTCTTCAAGAATGGGCGCGAAACATCAAAAGAGGTGACAAAGTTCTAGACGAAACCTGTGTAGTGTGTTCTCGTCATTTTGATGATCGCTACATCCAGTTTTACGCACTCACCAGACTGCACTTCTTCACGAAAGCAACAAATAAGAGCCTGTCCTCTAAGCGAGAGAAGCAAAAGCTCTTGAAAATACGGCGGTGTCAGTAAGGTGTTCAGTGCTGTTCATGTAAAAAATGTAAATAAGTTCCTGGTACAGTGGCTTTTGTAATTAAGAAATCTGGCATTGTGAATCTGTTAGGAGTTCGGTGCTGCCAAAGTGAAAAATGTAAATAAATTCTTGACACTGACTTCTGCAACAAATGTTGATATTGTAAATTGACATTTTGTATTGGTTTGTTTTTCCTTACTGCTGGTAACTCATTCGCAGGGGGTCCTGTTCGCCAGTGGTTTCGTCTGGCGCACTGTCATTGCTTTGGCATTATTTATTTTTCTGATTACTTCGAGGCGTGAAGGGCCAATCGAAGAGATAATGACCCTTGTACGTGGGTGCGTCCAGGCCTGCCACCGAGTGCAGGGAAAGTAAGTGTCCATAATACATTGTATATATAAAAAGTTGCGAGAAGGGGGTTTGTACAGTGCCTGCGATTCTGCACATGACAACAAAGTCGCGACAGCAGCCTACGGGAGGGAATGGTGGTCGCGGATGAGGAGAGAAATATGTGATTTTTTGTGTTGAACAGTCGTACCGCTGGGAGGCCCCGGTTGGCCACCCCTTAATTACCGCAATTTAAAAAGTAGCATTGGTAACGCGCGAGCGGCCAATCTATGAAGAGGCGGCACGGCAGGAGGACACAAAATCTCAACAAGGCAGAGAGCTCGCATACATTTCGTTCAAATTCACACGCTTTATTTACAGTCTGCATGGAAAACGCAGGATAACAAGGCAATCGCGTGCTAAGCCATGAAACCACCACTGCAATTTCAACGCAAAGCGTCTGCTCCGGCTTGCTGCCTCCCCAGCTTGCCGAAAAAGCAGCGCGCCAGAGAGCGGTACTGCTACCTGGTGGCTGTATCGCATACCATTTCCCCTCGGCCGGCCCGTTCACGACACTAGGAGAAATATTCTAGGCACTCTAACTATACTATTTCTAACGCTCGCGCTCCGCTGTTCGCGTTTCATTTGATGCCGATAGTACGTAGTTTGTTTCTCTGAGGTCCGTGTTTGCGCAGCTCACGTTCTTTCACATAAAGACCCAGACCTTGGTCGCTAATGCAACGTGCAAGCGGCCAAGCATCATTCATAAAATGCAACGACAGCGGTAGCCGTGAAAGCAACAGATATTCGCTTCAACACGCTGACCGCGGCGCAAGTTCGTGCAGGATGCAGCGGCGTTTTGCTTACCTTCTGACGACCAGTAGGCGAAGTGTCGCACATAAAATATTGACGCTCGATGTTCCGGATAGTGCAAAATATGACAGCCACGTATGTATCTACATACATTTCACAATATAATGTAGAACAGCGCTGAAGCTTCGACGTTTAACGCACGCCTCGCAGCCAGAAAGGTAAACAGGAAATCGCCATGGCACCTATTGCAGGATGCAGACGGCGCTTCGCGCAATAAAGAACCGAAACCGAAACTGCGATTTTATAAGCATCTTCGAATAACCTGTCACTCACGGGCGCCAACCGTAAATGCACAAAACAAACTATTTTATATGGAAAAAATTTATTACTGCAAAACATTTCGCTAAGTTTAAGGTGCTGAAGCAAGAGATCTTAGTCTCAAAATTTTTCACCCTAGCTGAGGCTTGGTAACATGTTGATCTGTAGAAACCGGCCATAAATAAATAAATAAATAAAAGATTGTTGAAATATGCGATCTCATGCTGACTGTTGGGCAGTGGGTTTCAGCGCGAAGTTGAAAAGTTTGCTCTTTAACCTTTTCCTCCATTCCATCAGTCAACTTGTGATATTGCAAATACACATAAAAAGGCTCCATTGAGATAATTTTCCCACTCTTTAAAAATTGTGACAATTAAAACATTACAAGCTACCACGCTCAGCAAACAGCTCTAGCTTTTTGTGCCGTATCACAGAGACTGGATTTCAAAGCTTTATTCAGAAAAATCCAATGTAGTAAAAAGAATGAGCCACTGTCCCCATGCGAAGGTCCTTGTCTACCTCTTCCTTTATTCGAACGCACTGAATAGATCTTAACGTTGATTGTGCTACTCCTAGACACAAAAATGCTGCAGTTGAGCGAGCATTAACTTTGTATGTTAAATAAGGTTTGAAGTTTAGATCACGACAGTATCCCGTGGTGCACTCAAAAAAAAAAAAAAAGAGTGAGAGATGGAGACCATTTCAAACAAAATGTTTATGATATTTCATCACCTAAACAAAATGAACCAATTCTGGTTATGTATTTATTGTCAATAAGGTTTCTATTCTGGATCATCATAAACACTTTGTTTCAACTGGTCAGTGCATCCTTTTCGTTCCGTAGTTCAAATAAATTTTAAGCTAATAATTGCACCAGGTGAAATATCAAGTAATCTATAAGAGACAGTCACGACTGCAGTTATAAAGACTGCTTTATTTTTGCACATATAAACACCGTTCACACAATTAGACTAAAACGTTTAGAACCCAGCTTCAAAGGATTCTTACACAATAGGATGGAGTGCACGTACATGCTGCGTGTCTGTGCTTGTTCAATTTAGAGAACTTGCAGCATGGGCACCTGCACAAATAAAGGCTATCTTTTACACACTAAAACGTAGGTAAAAACCTTATTGCATTCATTCTCATAAATATTAATCACAAGAAACTGTTCATTAGTTTAATGTAAGGTTGAAAGGTAGCAGGGTCTGTACAGGTTTCAGTAGCCCAAATACAAGAAATTTTCAAGGCTTTACTGAAGGTTTCTTAAGGATATAAAGCACCGGCCCAAGTAAAAATTTTTTTGTAATAACCACGCTTCCAAACCAACATGGTTTGGAAACATGGTTATTTACAAATTAAGAATACAAAATTAGTATTTGGCTCACACACAGCACTTTATTAAAGTTTTGGCTGCATAGAAACGGTGGATACTGTTTGAGCTAGAAGATGTGTGATTTCACCTCGTGAGCTACTTTCATGACAGAGTTTGATATGGAAGAGTAAATATTAACAGAACTGGTTGAGATGAAGTTAAATCACCCAGAGAAATGCTGTAAGTGGACCAGGTGAAGAGATGAAACTAATAGCAGGAAACAAAAAAGGTTAAAAACTGGGTGGAAGCCATCACAGGAGCACGGCCTGTGCTCTCAAAGTAACCTTACAAACATTTACATATACACAACAGCTGCTCTAGTCCATATCAGAATTTATATGCAGAAAAAATTGAAGATCTTTCTGGGAACAAAAACAAACATAGGAAGTTGAAGGGCCGTGCAAAACTACTGTGTAATTTCAATTGTTTTCAAAGGCTCCAGGCATTTGTATGCACTCTGAGGTAACCACAAGCATGTTTCAGTCATTGATATATGGTATGGTTAAAAGACAGCCACATAAATGCATTTTGTATCAATCTACATAATGGTGTTCATACAGTCTGCAAGGAGACTTATTGTGGTAAAGGTTAACGGAGCTCTTACGCTGCCTATAAGACAATAAGAAGGCTGGCGCACTGTATGAGCCAAAGTTAAACCGAAGGCCTAGGCAGAATAAAGAATATGAAGTTTTTGTAAAGTTTTGCCATGTATAACCGACTAAAAAAGCTGTGATTTCCTTCTTACTTTACAGAGACCGGTTTTTATTCACTTTACTGATATAGCCTTATAGCATTAGTTGATGAGGCTGGACACTACACATACATTGCACATACACGCATACATGGAGCAATGAACTCAGCGCTCAGTTGGGTTCTTACATACCAGATGGCACTACAAAAGAGGATGGATGACGTGGGTCATGCACGAATTTTCTGAGCAGCAACACTGGCCACCTCAGCAGATTTTCTAGTCTCTACACTTGCAAAAATCACAAACCAACTTTTGTGGAGGACCTGCTTGGCCATCAGTGTTTTACCTTACAAGTGTACGCCTCTCTTTACAAACAGCTAAAAGAAGAGGAGGCCATCAAAAGGAGTAAAATTCAAACTGGAGTTTATTCCATTAAAAAAAATTACACGCCATGTTCTCTACATGCTATCTTAATTCTTGCTCCTACTACAGAGGAAGTCTTACACTCTATTACATTAGCTGGGGCTGCTAAAAGCATCCCCCACACTTGACACACACAGAAGTGACCCTGACACACACGTTGGAGCAGAGGGAGGTGCAAGTGTTGAATGGGCGGCTAAGGCAAGTGGGGCCCTCCACTAAGGCTCTCCCCCCCCCCCCCCGCCATAAGTCACTCATACTGCAATCAAGTTTATCTGCTCTGTACAGTTTTCTCACACATAATTGGTCAAGCCACTTCTCGTCAGGTGGTCAACTCATAAATAGACATGGTACTTCTATCTAGTTCCAGGTTGAAGCTTGTGACCATGAGAAGTTAATATATTGATACAAAACAGCCGCTAAACACGGCTGCTTTCAACACATTCATTTGCCGTATGTGACGTTCGCCTACAACTCATCTAGTCACAACACTGCCGGATATTCGCCCTTCTATCTACTATATGGCCGAGACCCAACTCTACCTTTAGACACGTTACTACCTGCGGCCACTGAATATGCTGGTGAAGCCATTGCCCGCGCCGACCACGCGCGCCAAGTCGCCCGTACCCGTCTACAGGCTTCACAGGCGCGCCAACAACAGCTCTACAATTCTCACCATAGGGACGTGCACTTTTCTCCAGGATCTCTCGTGCTCCTCTGGTCACCTACTCGGCGTGTGGGACTGTCGGAAAAACTGTTGTCGCCCTACACTGGACCATTCCGTATCGTTCGCCAAGTGACAGACGTCACGTACGAGATTGTTCCAACTGATCCAACAAAGTCATCGTCAGCTCCGAGCGACATTGTTCACGTGGCTCGGCTAAAGCCCTATTACCCCCCTTCAACATCATCTGCGTAAATTTAGCACCGGGACGGTGCTTCTACCGCCGGGGGTTATGATACAAAACAGCCGCTAAACACGGCTGCATGAAAGAGGAGGACGAAGTGGGTTTTTTCCGTTGGATGCTGGTCTGGCGCCATCTTACTCGTCGAGTTCAGTGCGCTGTAAATAGATCATTAAACAAGTTACTCGTAACATTATTATTAACTTTTCCTGTCACTTTGACGTCTGAGCACTCTTACAGTGGGCTCTATGAACAGTGCACTCAATGTGAATAAAGTGTTTTCTTTTTGACACCCTTTGGCAGTTCAGGTGCCTCCATTTGTCTTATGTCGGACAAGCCTTCTCGGATTCCTTCATCTAGTCTGCGCTAAGACTGTACCCCAACTTGGAAGCATATACTGACTTGATAGAATATTTTAAACAAAAACAGATGAAAAATTGTAATAATTAACGTATTGTTGGTCACAATTCCCTTTAGACCACATGTCAGAATGCTGCTTTTGCAGTAAATGAGTAGAGAGACTGATGCATTGTTGAAATTTGCTATACTTTTTTATTGCCGCATCCATATAAATAAATCTTGTTTGCACTACAGAAAAAATTGCAGCATGGAGGGCCAAGGTCATGCCTATTATCTTCTGATGGGGTGCTGTGGTGTACTTAAAAAATAAAAAAGAGGGGGGAAAATTTGAGAGCGCAGTACAATTGTAACATTCAATGAAACTGCAAGATGCAAAAACAAAACTTAGGAGAAAGCTCTATTAAGGCATCTTTATTCCAAGATAAAGTAGGCATGATAGCGACACATACAGCTTTCTTAAGCTATGAAAATTTGCCCAGAGTAGTTTCTACTCACTTTTTCCTCTCACCTTGCCTAACAACAATCTTGCCACACAGGGGCACACAGACTTTATCACATATGTTCTTTCATGGTTATACTGTGAATGTCCTTTAGTCATCAACTACAACACTCATGTGAATTCAGAAGTGATAATGAGCACACTATTGTTATAAACAAGAAAAAAAACTGACTAGAAAATGCAGGCCAATATTTTTAAAGTAGAAGGTGCTGATAAAACTTTTCCTTGTTACGTGCAGCTAACATAACCTCGGAAGCTCTTTGCAGATGCCAATCACAGAAGGGCGTATGAGAGTTAAAGGTGTTTGTTTTACCACACATGCACTCGAAAGAGATGACTATGCACTTTCATAACATAAATGGTGAGACTCAAAGACTTTGGCGACGGTTTTGGTCTTTGAATGTGCTCGTGAAACAATAGTAAGAGTTTTTGTGCACTGCAGTGTAGAAAGACACAATGGAATGAGCACAAGTGGCGACAAAGGGCGCTGAATTTTCTACAATGTTTATTGGGAAATACCGTGTATATTGACACCGTTCTGAGAAGACTGAGGACCTAGTTTACCTCATACAGGTAAGAGTCACAATGCAATGCGCACATCATCGGTGAATTAACTTTGTCAGCCGCCGTAACCTGTGCTCCTTCCCTTGGACCGAAGTTTGCTGTGGCACTCAGGGAGTCAAG